ATTGTGACCTGAAGGACTCATCGAGGGGGCGAACCGAAAGTGCTTTCACCGCCAAATTGAGCAGAACCAGCCTAATCTTACCTCAAACGTATACTCGGCAGAGGAACTTACTATTCTCTATGATCTCTTGATCACAAATGGCATAAGGCAACGCAGGTGTACCCTGCAAGGCCATTCTTCATTGCATATAGCCCCCTCTCACGAATTGAATAGTTCTTCTCTGTTGCTTTAACCTGGCAAACTCGAATTTCATCACAGACGCATACCCACCGGCATTTTTTTTAGTAAAGTACAGCCCATGACAAAGGTGGAAGCATCATTGACGACATGAAATGACCGATCTAGACTCAGAAGAACTAATATCAGGGAATACATGATATTTACTCCATAGCCTTAAAGGTCAGTCTTTCTGCCGTATATGAGCGCCATTGGCATCAATTTAAGAACATTGGAGAGTGTCCGTGTCATGTCGGCATAATTTTTACTATATTAGTGCAGGAGTTAGCTAGGCCAATCCACTTTCTCAGGTCTTTTATGACAGCGGTACTGGATAATCTTCAATGATATCTGCTTCGCGGGATCTACTTGTAAGCGATTCGCAACAATAAAGCAAACCACATAGGATCTTCGACAGCGCCAAAAAATACTTCGTGATTACTAGCAAATAGCCTATTGGAGCACATTTTTACTTTACTTCTGCTCACAGGAGCTCCATCTAATTCTCCACATCCGACAATATATGCCTTGCAAAACATTGGACAAATATGTTGTCGAAATAGGATTGTGCATCGTCACGATGTGGCCTGAACAGTTTGTTTCTGATAAATAAGCGTTGCTGGGGAAGTAGACACCCGCTGTGACATATTTAGCGATTCCAGATCACCCCCACTTGAAAAACTCACCGCTGAGAGAGGGATATTGTCAGCATTCGAACATTTTCGTTGACAGGTAAAGCGCACCGAACAAATGGCAGCCAACTATGCAGGTTGAAGGGACATCCTTTCAAGTAGTCAGCATTTGTGCCGGAACGTGGATACATTTATCTGGTTATAAGCGTCCAGGTTCGCTCAATATGTCAAGAGGCGTCAGCCGTAGTGACCATGAAACTTGGTGCCGACGGGCACGGTTTACTCTCTCACCAAACTCGTTTTGTACTTTGTATAGAAGACAGGGTCTATGACGTCACACTGATCAATAGGTGGGGAATATTATCGTGTAATGATGAACTTCGCTGATGGAACCAAGTTGATTTCATGCCGCGGATAAATGATGATAAGCGCTTGTCACAACATCGTGATACATTTTCAACAATGGATCAAAATCATCTGCAGGATCATGAGAATAGCCATACACCCCTCGCACTCAGTGCTTTGCTTGTATTTTCATAGACAGGTATTCTCATGACAGATTATTAGCTCGAATTTTCCAATGGACATTTCAGCGGATGCATCATCGTGCAATACGTTGCGCACATTCTATAAGGATAGCATGCCTATCGCTTTATAAGAGCTTCCATATGAGGTATTGATGGGACACTTATACCTCCTAGACCTATCCTGATCAGCTTCTCACGAGTGGATAATGTTTCGCTTCACTAATCCGTGGAAGGTACTATTTTGTGCGTAGATTGCGTCACGGTAAATGTGATTCAGCACAACAATTTCATCCTGACAATGATGAGTTCCTTACCTTATCTTTAGGACTTGGACTTCTTTCGCGACTTGCGGTCGCTCTTCAACCCAACGGCTCCGGCACCAGAGAGTGTGACAGTCAGTCACTTCTTCTGTCCGTCAGTCCAGGCACATAAGACTCCAGCATTCAGCTGTGATCCATCCTCTCACCAGAGGTACTGTTGATCCCTCTCAGATCACTCTGAAGACCGCTATTTACTAAAGCTTTACTCTGAATAAACCTTAAACCGCGGCTTACTGCCGTTTCTGCTTTCTGAAATCCGCTCAAGGCACTGGTAAAATCATTGTTAGTCGTCTCGGGCGATCACAAGTCATGTATGGGGTCGTTTTCGCGCCTAAAGCGCTGCTGCCACCTGATAGTGGTAAGTAAACGTCTCAAGAAAGCACTACCTAACAGAAATTATGTAGCACTAGAATCCTTAACCTTCGGCCAATCTATTGCTTGCTGCTTTGTCACCATACCATACCTTGAATGACCGCATAACCCCAATTCATGTCCAGGACAAGATAACGTTCCACGACGTCAGATCCCACAAATCTTCGTAAAACTCAGAAAGTATTTGTGACACTTCACGAAAGTCTTCCTCGCAAGACGCACGGATATACATTATTCTTAATGCTTCCGCGGATTGTCCACTGCTTTTGACAGTCGCTTGTCGTATACAACAGGATGACGCTTTCAAATCAATAAGGACCTGTCACGGGTTAACAATGGCCGAGACGCTGATGTAAGTATATGATTTGGGCGGTTGTTCCAAACTTTCTAAGTCAGCTGCTTTCTTAAATTTGGGCTTAATCGATCGCGATCTTCACGAGCTACAACAGAGCCCGGTTTTTCCCGCTAGGCCACTCTACGCCAACGTTACCTTGCAGTTCGCTCGACGGACGGCATATGTTGTAGACTAATCGATCGCACCTCTAAGTCGAGAGCTATGAGACTACGAAAGGCGCAGATGTTGTTCTTTTCTATAGATGCGAGTGCACGGGATTTGATAAGCGACCTCTTCTTTCCTCTTCATTATGCGCGCTCATCGACCTTTTAACCCATACGGGCCTCGCAATACGGAAGGTGACCTGGTCTTTCAGTGCGATACCCATCGCTCCTTCGAAATATGTAGGGTGGACGTAGAAGATCGTGGTGGGTGCAGCATTGGTTCAGAGATACTACACAGAATTGGTATCCATTATCGCCTCCAGAGAGGGCCTGATGCCTTTTTTTGCGATAAGGCTTTTTAGCTCCTGCGCACAGTTTGTCAGTAATTTCCACACTTGATCGGTGGACAGAAAGTTCCAGTGCTATCAATAAGCCTGAAAAGGTTTCGCGAGCAACTGCGCGTTTACCGCCTCAAATCTCTCCTAGCTGGGAGCGATTCCTTGTGCGGCTTCCTGGCTAGCAACAAGCGCCACGCGCTGTTCCTTTATTTGGAGTCCGGCTAGATCCTTGACCATCCGACCTATTTTGTCGCGAGGCAGGAATCTCTCTGACTTACTTCTTTAATGGCTAGACTCGCAGTACCAGCGACCCAAAGATGGGTGCCACCTAATCCCCACCAGTGCTCGGATGGATCGATCGTAAAGGCACATTTTACTAACTGGTTGGCGCCTTCAGGCGAGTGGTAACAGCTTCCGGCTCTTTTCTTCTCAACTGCATTGAATCAATCGCCACCAACAAACGCTTTCCAGGTGTGCCAATATATTTTTGAGTCAGGGGAGGTTTTGAAATTTTCATGTTCCAACCTCAAAAAAAAGATTTACGACTAGGTCGTGGGATCGACTACAAGTACTACCAATTGCTACGGGATTGTTGTGGTCTTTAGAAAGAGGACGCCTTTTTTCAAAATCCTGCACCGTGGCATTGTTCGTACTCTTCAAACAGAAGCGGCTCCTAGATTCTCTAATGCAACATGGTCTCTATCGTATTAAATACAATACGGTACGATTGCATGCATTCACATTGCTTTCTGTAAATATGTAGTTCTGTGATATAACTTATTTGGACTAACAGTAAATAGTTGGAATATAACTAGTCAACTGGGAGTCTTGAGTATCTAGATACTTTGTTTATCTATCATTTTCAACAGTTACATGATTTTAGAATTTATTCTAATCAAAATCAAAACTGTATATGTCTGTATTCCTTCTCTGTTTGATGATAAAAGTTAAACTGCACGTCCAGGTCTTAAACCTCTCAATTAAGGTGTTGAAATGTCCAATTTGCAGAAAAGTGTAATGTGTAGGTAGGTACACAAATTACAGTACGTACCCCAATACTCGAAAATGTGATACTGATTTGATTTTGAATTAGTTTTGTCTGTAAAACGAGTGAGGATCGTAGCATTTCAAGCTTTTCAAACTTGCCGGCAGGCTACCGCTCCACGAATTTGATCAGCAGAGGTAAAAATAACTTGAAGATTGATGTATATACTTACCGAGATGGTGTCCCAGATCTTTGCCGTGATATGCGGCTGATCAAACAAGCGTCTGATGATATAATTGTATATGCTTTACGGGCAAACGTCCTGCTTTGAGATAGCGTTATAGCGCAGCTGTAGAGGTGGTCACTTGAAGTGTAGGAAGCTCTCAACAGCATTTCTAAAATTATTGAAATGAATGTTAGATCATCAACTACTTAATCGTCTTCGAAAACAACGTCTTCTATATATTTATATACTAGTGCAAAGTGGCTCAACTTTACTTATTCATTCTCGCGAACGCAATAGTGACGTCGGCTTCGAATAAGCATTATTTCATGATACAAGAGTTGTGCAAGGCAGACACACGATAAAGCAGTACCAACCTCTAAAAGTATAAACACTGGACCCCATGAACAAACTTGCACGCAATGAGGACTCCTAGGATTACAGCCTTTCGGCTCGTATTGGCAGTTCGCCAAGTATCCCACCAGATATTGTACCAATGCAGCTCCAATACTTCCTGTTCCATCAATAATTCCCGTGACAGTCGATAAAGCTTCTGCATTCCCTTTAATACTCTCGTGAGTGCCAAGATCAGCTGAAATAGCTGTACTGATCAAATTAGCAGGACCACCGAGCATGAATCCTGATGTTAGCAATAGCAACGCAGTCGCATGATATGACGCGCCATTCATAACGTATAGCGCAATACTAGATTGAGTAAATAATTAGATATTTGAATGATATTTTAACCTGTACAACAACGTACCAAGAAAAGAGCAACATCGTTACTACTACAGGAGAACGTACGCCCATTCTGTCCGAGACTAATCCGCTGACAAAACCACCAAAAATTTGACCAATATCGTAGAGCATCTAAAAAATCATGTTTACATATAATTTGAGACCATACTTGTGATCTTGGCAATTACGCTAGAAACGCACCGAGAAAGTACCAGCTTGTGAGCTGTCCATGTGGAGTGAGACAGAAAGATAGAACGGGAGCCAAAAGAACAATGCGTAGTTAACTGACTTAAGACAAGCATATGCCATTGCGTATGGAAAAACCTGATGATAAAGACAAGCACATATCAACACTTCGATCGCGAATACGACTTTAAATAAATCCTCACTCCAGGAATACACCAGGCTTTGAAAAACCCAATCCCATCAACTTTTCCATCTTCAACATCAAGATTTTCTTCAATTTGATCTTTGTGAATGGCTACATCTGGTTTGGCGTCTTCTAGTCGCTCATGGCGATACGCTACATCCTTTGGATCCGGATATAAGAAAAAGTGAATGATTAATCCATGAAAACCCACCAATCCAGCTGCTACCACAAGAGCTATTTTCCATGCTAATGTTTTCTCGACCAATGCAAACATTGAAGCGACAAGGGCCGTACCGACAATATTACCAAGACATCCATTTCCACTCCAGATTCCAAATACTGCACCTCGTTCTTTTTCGTTAAACCACTTGCCCATTACTGCAACATTGGCCGGCCAGCCACTTGATTGAATAAGTCCATTAAGACCCCATAGTATGGCATAATAACTAAGCGCATGGATCTCACTCAACGCTCCTAATCCAAAGAGTAAAACAATAGCTGCTGTAACCCACATACCACCAGCAATCATACGTCGAAGGTTATGTTTGTCTCCTAGAATGCCACTAACATAAAAAATTGTCCATTATCAAATTTATCATAACAGAAAAGCATTTGTCATACCTAACATAGAGACCAAGTGCATAAAAGACCATAAAAAGTGTATCCATAAGTCCAAACATCTCAACTTGTTGCTCACGAGAGAAAAGGTTTGAATGTAGCCATTGTTCAAGCGCCATCTCGCCTTTAATGGCCGAGAAACTCTTGCGACTTGCATGAAACAACACGTAGCTAAAGAATGTTAAGAAGAACACACCACGTTTGGTAGCTGCTACCTCCATACAACTGTGTGTGGATGCTGATTGTCCCACAGCCTCCATCCTTAACGTAACAGTGTGCGTAGGCTTCATCATTTTCGTCCTACAGGATTTACTTAGATACAGTTTATAATAATCTGTTCATTTCTTTTAAAGAATGTAATACTAAATATCGGTATTCAGTATTTCGACCTCTCTCCCATTCATCATTCTTTAAGCTCCAGACGTCCCCCCCGCTTACGATGGCGTCTTTCAATACAGTGCCAGAAAAAGTCAAGCGTCCACGAACGTCTTTTACAAATGCACAACGTCTTCAGATCTGCAATTATAAAGACGAACATCCGACAGTTACACAAGGTCAATTGGCTACATGGGCACAAGAAGCGCTGAATCTTCCACGTAAACCTTCACAAGCGATGATTTCAAAAGTTTTGAAACGAAAACTTGATTTTGAGACGATGACAAGTGAAATGTTAACATGTAAATCTCGTCGTACCGTGCGATATCCACACTTGGATACAGCGCTTGCTCGATGGGTTGCTTACTGTGAAGAGACTGGTGTTCCAGTCACTGGGGAAGCCATTC